CCGTAAAGGTCCTGGTGTGGTTTCGGGTTCCCAGCTCTCGGCGCTAATCCCCCACCTCGCTCAGCCAGTGAGCGGGAACCGGTCTGTATGTGGGATCCGAACCCTCGGCGGGAGCGCTGCCGCACTCCCAAGCGGCGCACTGTAGCAGTGCGCCACCGGGCTGGCCCAAGCAGCTTCCACTTTTGAGTGCCGATGTGCCCATGTGACACTGAGAACTTCACAGGGATGAGCCCCTTTCCCACGTGGAACTCAGCACTTGCCATCCCTCTTATGGATGAGAAAAACCATGTCAACGGTGGAAAGCAGTTTTCCCCTCGCCACACAGCAGCATCTGAGGACAGCAGCCTGTCCCACACATCCACAGTGTAGACCGACACTCTGAGAAGGTGTGTGGAAGGAATGAGCCCATCACGACTAGGGGAGAGCAGCCCCCCTGCTGAGCAACCTCCGGGCCTGGACTTCGCAATGCAGGAGTGGATTTTTAAAATGAAGCTCTATTCTATAGCACTAGGTTAGATTCAGTTCTGAGAAGTGCCTGAATAATTTATAAACCAACTGAGGAAACGTTGCAGGGCCGGCTGACAAGTCCCAGTGGCACCAGAACGAGGAGAGCAGCCCTGCCGTCAGGAGCTGCGCAGTGCTCACAGCCTGACCCCGGCGTCTCACAGCCAGTCTGAGGCTCACGGCTGAACCGTGTTATTCTCCTATTGGACAAGAACAGTCTCACAGGACACCTGTACCAAATGAAGCCAATCTGAGACGAGTGTAAAACACAACAAAAATGAGCTTACTGTGCCACCTGCGCACCAGCCAAGGTCAGCACAGAGCCCCAGGTCCTTCACCACACCTGGGGTTCCCAGGGTGCCATCTCCTTCGGTCAGCAAGGTCAACCTTTGTGTGTCCCTGGGGTCTCGCTGCTGGGCCCTGACTGTCCACAGAACCCAAATGAAACCGTCGGAGTGAATGCCGCTCCACAGACTGTCCCAAAAAGCACATGAGCTACTTAAAACGGCATGCAAATCTCCAGGGGTTCATCTTCCCAGGAGCTGAGTGAAAGATATAGACACTGGTGGCACCGTCAGCCCCAAACCGAGGGTCAGAGAGGCATCATCCCCCCCACAAGAATCCTGCCAGGAAACAGGTCAGGTGACGGCAGGGCATGCGAAACCCAGGTCCTGGTGGTCCAAGTGCGGCGAAACAGCAGGTCAGCATGGCCACAGGAACTGGCAGGCGCTGGGGCGGGGGGCCCTCTGCTGGAGCTGGCCCCAGCTGGGCAGGGCTTCATGGGGGGGTCACGATCCTTCACACCGAGGCTGGGCTGGACCCTGCCACCTGCTGCCGTCACTGGGCAGCTCCCCACTGCCCAAATCTTGACTGAGGCCTACCCTGGGCTCTCCAGCCCTCTGCCAGCCCTCCCTGGGTCCCCCAGGACCACCCCCACCCCTGCAATCCAGCAGCCTCTTCTTCTCAGACAGACTGTCTGACCCTGAGGTTCTGCAGGTGAGGGACTCAAGCGGCCGGCCTCCCCAGGCATCTTGCCCCATGATCTGACCTCCCAAGCACAGACAGGGGGCTTCCCACCTGAGCCCCTCTTTGAAGCCCCCACCTTCTGCAAATCACTTCCCCCCTACCTAGACCACTGGAGTCTCCATCTGGGGCCTCTCATGGCCTGGTCCTGCCGCCTCACCTTTTTGGTCCACTCAACGATCCGGCTCTCGGTGAAGGTCTCAAACATCTCCTGGAAGAAGACGCTCAGTTTCTGCTGGATCAGGGAGACGGTGATCTCAGAGATGGGCAGATTGGCCACTTGGGCAATGACATCAGCCACGCGGCCTGAGCCCTCCACGATCACGCAGGGGGTACCATTGGTGATGGCGTTGTAGATGGTCTGCAGGGCAAGAGCTACCATGAGCCAAGTGAGCCCCGTTGTGCTCGGACGCTTTCTGCTGTGGGGAATTCTCCAATGGCAGCAGCTGGGGCAAGGCTGACTTGCCACTGTGGGGGTTACTGGAGAATTTATTGGTTTGGTAGCACGTGCTGCACAAGGGACAAAGGAGTGAATCCAGACACACTGTGGGATGTCCACCCAACACGCCATCTTTCTCAGGACTATCGCTCAACACCACCCTAACAAAACAGTTTTGTGACATGTTCACCCACTGACATAGGGACATGAGAGAGAGCCGTCTCCACAACAGGGACACTGTGTGACCTGGAGTTACAGGCCTTACAAAGGCCCTGGGGAGACAAGAGCAATGAGAACCCCGTGAATTCAAAAGACCTCTGACAAAGCCGCCAGCAGGAAGATCGCCCTCAGCAAGGGTGGGCGCCTGCCTGGGGTGTGGCCGCTTGGCAGGAGAGCCATGGAGGGGACTTGGTGGCACAGGGAGTGGGGACCTGGTGCTCTACAGATCCCCATCCAGCCAGGAGACCCCAGGGCTCATTTTCATCTCTGGGATTACAGAACATCAGCAGGGACACTTTCAGTGACCCCGTAAATGAAACACCAATACCCTTGCCCCAGATCCACAGGCCATACGCTCATCCTACATTCCTACAACACATGGAGCTGGGTAGCCCCCAGGCAGGCAGCCGAACACACACAGCAGAGTGGCTTCAGAACGAAGGTCCAGGGAGCAGCATGTTATGCCCCCTGGTAAATCTGCTTTCAGTACAGCTGATCCCAGGGTCTGTGGAAGGGGCCCAGGGCCAACACTTTGAAAACATGCCCTGGGGCATCTGGGAGGCAGAGTTGTAGAAATCCTGAGGCTTCCCTCGAGGGGCCCTGGGTGCAGAGAGCTGCCGGCTGGCTCACAACTCACCTCAGCCCCTTGAGACCACCTCTGCCTTCCATGTCAGTCAACTGCCCAGGAGAAGCCAAGCCCACCCTCTGCACCAGGGCTCACGCAGCAGGCTCCCCCTTCATCCTGCTGGAAATGACCCCTGCCACACCATGGACCCCCTTTCTCCAGCTCCTTGTGGAGACGCTCATTGCCTTCTCTCGCCAGTAATCGCTCCGGGAGGCTGGTGAAGTGCTCAGGCAGGTGGGACTCACGTGCAACGTGCCAGGGCCGCCCTCCAGCACCACACAGACAATGGGGATCTTGATAGCCACGCCTAGACAGAGCACAGAGCCAGGTGAGGGGCTAGGGGGCTCAGCCCTCCGCATGGGGCGCCCCTCCCCACCCCCTGCCAACTCCAGCATCAGCTGGGAGACAGGTCACAGGTAAAAAGCAGCTTTGAAAGGTGGACACTCCAGAGTTTGCAGGTGATTTGCTGATTCTAAATAAATGCCCAAGTTCCAGAGCACCTGCTGACCCACCTCTCCATTGCCTGCATCCCATCCCACTCCCACGCACTTTTTTGGGTGGGGGGAGGATGAGGACACTCAGGGATGCCCCAGGTCCCCCCAGCCTGTCTTCTCACTCTGCAGGACATGGCATCCAGCCTGCTCTTCTCTGCAACCCTTTCACGGTGCCTCAAAATCTGGGCATGCCTAAGGGAACATGCAACAGGTGACATAACCCCTCCTGCACAGGTGCAAGCAAGGCATGGGAGCCTCCGTCCTGCCTCCGTACCTCCAGCCCCTGCCCTGAGCTTTCCACCCAGCCCAGTAGCGGGGGGCTTGAGAAGACCACAGCAATCCCTTTCCCTGGCAGCACACTCTCCATCCAGCACCAACAATGGCCCTGTCTCTTCGCACACTCACAACCCCACACTCCCTACGCTGGGTTCTCTTAGTCAAAGCAGTTCCCAAAGTGTGGTCCCCAGACCTGCAGCCATCAGCATCACCCAGGAACTTAGAAATGTGAGTTCTCAGCCCACTCAGACCCACTGAGTCGGAGACCCTAGGGTGGGCCCAGCACACACAGGCCCGCCAGGGGATTCTGATGCACAGTGAAGCCTGCTCAAAAGGTTTCCCAACCAACCTGGGCACGGTCTGGACATCTCCCCATTATCTTGAATCTCTTTCAACCCCTCCTCAAATCACATGCAAAATCATGTATCAGACCTCCCAGTGTCCTAGGATCCATCCCATCCCACCTACCAGGGAAGTTCTGAGTTTTGACTAACATACGTCCTGATTTCTGAACCTGAGACTGAGTTTGTGGTTTTAAATGGGTGTGTTACCTGAGAGCGTTTAAGCAAGCTACAGGCCCATCCTGATGTTCCTTCCACTGGTTAAAAGAGGCAAGGGAGGGTGACCCCATGAACAAAGCAGAAGGATACACAGGTGAGTTCTGATCACATGTGCAGGTGCCACACCCGTTGAACATCCCAGTCACGGCCAGTGGCATTCCTGATGCTCTCACCAGCCTACTGCCCTCTCCACCATAGGTGCCCTTGAAAGCCTCTTCCACTTACCTCCTCTCTCCTTTGTCTGCTCCGATATGAACTTCTCCAGCTTTGTCCTCAGGGGGATCTCGACCCCGTACTGGCCGTGGGTCCCATCGTCCACAAGGATGAAGTGGGAGTGGTTGCTGTCCAGGCAGGTCAAGTTCCCTTGGCCTTCCTCATCCAGTATGTACTCAGCGGGGAAGCTACCCTGGGGATGGCGGGGCAGAGTCATACACAGACTGAGGGAACGTTCTGCATCTTTTTTTTTTTTTTTTCCTTTTTGTCTTTTTTTTACTGACCAGTAACGGGATCGCAACCCTCAGTGTTGCACCCGCACCACGCTCAGCCAGTGAGCGGGAACCGGTCTCCACATGGGATCCGAACCCTCGGCGGGAGCGCCGCCACACTCCCAAGTGGAGCACTCTCCAGTGCGCCACCAGGCCGGCCCGTCATTCTGCATCTTTAACGCGAGGAATTGGGGGTCTAGTTGGCTGAATAATGGCCCCCAAAGATATCAAGTCCTAGTCCCTGAACCTGTGAATGTTACCTTATTTAGAGAAAGGGTCTTTGCAGATGTGATTAAGTTAAGGGTCTTAACATGAGAAGACTAACCTGGATTACCCAGGTTGGCCCAAAGTGCCATCATAAATGTCCTTATAGGAGAAAGGCAGAGGGAGACACACAGAGGAGGAGGCCATGTGACACAGAGGCAGAGAGGACAGGGACGAAGCCACAGGCCAAGGAACACTGGAGCCACCAGAAATGGAAGAGATTAGGAAACAGACTCCCCCAGAGCTTCCGGAGGGGGAGGGTCCTGCCACAACACCTTGATTTTGGCCAAGTGATGTTGATTTCAGAGCTCTGTCCTCCAGAAATGTGAAAGAATAAATTTCTGCAGCTTTACAATTTGTGCTAATTTGTTACAGCAGTCACAGGAAACTAATACAGATTTTGGTATCAGAAAGTGGGGTGCTGCTATAACAAATACCTAAAAATGTGGAGGTGGTTTTGGAATTGGGTCATAGGTAAAGGACAGGAGAATTTTCCACGATAGGAAAAGTCTCAGTTTTCTTGAATGGACTACTGGTAGAAAATATGGCTGTTAAAGACATTACTGACAAGATCTCAGAAGGAAGTAAGAAGCACGGTAGAGAAAGCTTTTATTGTCTTAGAGAACGCATGTATTGTCAAACAGAGTCTTGGTAGAAATATAAACAGTACAGATACTCCTGGTGAGGCCTCAGAAGGAAATGAAAAATATTATTAGAATATGGAGGAAAGCAATCTTGCTACATGGTGGCAGAAAGCTCAGACAAATTGTGTTGTACAGTTGTGTGGAAAGCAGAGTTGTAAATGATGAACTCGGATATTTAGCTGAGGAGATTTCCAAGCAAAGTGCTGAAGTTGCAACCTGGTTTATTCTTGCTGCTTATTGCAAAATGTGAAGGAAAAGAGATAAATTGAGGGAAGAACTGATAGGTAAAAAGGAACCATGACTTGATGATTTAGGAAATTCTCAGCCTATCTAGACAGTATTTAATGCTTAAATTAAGAGATTCACTGTTAGAAAACCATACTCTAGAGGGAAGGCCAAGGGTGTGGCTAGCCGACGTTTGCTGCAGATGAAGAGATCAGGCATGTGACCACAGATTCACTCAACCATCTCAGCTGAAGCCAGGGACAGAAACGTCGTTGTCGAAGAAAGACGTGTGGAGGAACTTCTTGTTTACTGGTGTAAGTCCCTGTGATACACATCAACAACAACACTGCAAATTTGGACCAAAAGGGACAGAGACAGGACAAAATGGAAGAAAGGTTGTCAGATTCCTAAAACTCTCCAAGCAGGAGACAGGCTGACAACCATCAGGAAGAAGGAAGGCCCATCCTGGGGGTGGGACGAGGGCAGAGGGCAGAGGCCCCAGCTGAGGGTCCTGCGCGTGGAGCCTCAAGCCACGCAGGACCATCCCCAGGTTTTACAACCTAATGAGTTGTCCCTGCTGGATTCTGAAATTGCTTGGGACTGGTGACACCTTTATTGCTTCCGTGTTCCCCTCTGAAATGAGAATGTCTGTGTCTGTTGCATGACGCCCGTTCCACAACTGCACGATGGAAGCATGCAAACTGTTTTCTGGTTTCACAATACACACATGAAGAGGAGTTTGGCCCAGGATGGATAATACCCAGGGCCTCAGCCACAGCTGATTTAGACGATTTAGATGATGAGTTTGGGCCTTTTGAGCTGATGATATTTACATGAGATTTTGAACTTTGAGTTGATGCTGTAATTGGTTGATAATTTGGGGGATCATGGGATGAACGTGAATCTTTTGGGGCCAGAGGGCAAACCTTACTAGACTGAATAATGGCCATCCAAAGATATCAAGTCCTAATCCCTGGAACTTGTACATGCTACCCTATTTGGAAAAAGAGTCTTTGCAGATGTGAGTAAATTAAGGATCTTGATGTGAGGAGATCACCCTGGATTATCCAAGTAGGCCCTAAATACCTTCCCAAGTGTCCTTACAGAAGACACAGGAAGAACTGACATAGACAGAGAGGACAAAGTGACACAGAGGCAGAGACTAGAGCAATGTGGCCACAAGCCAAGGAACGTCCAGCAGCCACCAGAAGCTGGAAGAGGCAGAAAGGACCCTCCCCGAGAGCCTCTGGAAGGAGTATAGCCCTGCGACACCGTGATTGTGGCTGACTGATACTGATTCCAGACCTCTGGCCTCCACAACTGAGAGAATAAATTTCTGTTGCTTTAAGCCACCAGGTCTGTCATCATCTATTGCAGCGGCCACAGGAAACGGCTGTGGGGGACAGCTGCTGGACCAGAACACACGTCCTCTCTTGTCCACAGAGAAAGGGACGGTGCTGCAGTGGGAGAAAAGTGCAGAGTGATCTTGGAAGTCACCCAACCTCCCCTGGCCTCAGTTTTTCACTTCACAAAAGGAGCAAAACAGAAGAGTCGGTCCAGGCCTGCCCAATGAACGCATCTACGATGCCAACACAAAAGGAAGACCAGGTCCAAGGGGAGGCTGGTCACAGGGCTTCCTGTGCCACTCAGGGGCATGTATGCCGATGAAGGGCACCACCATCCCAGACAGGCTCTTCCCCTGGGAAATGAGTGTGGGGAGCCCTTGCCAGAGGAGAGGAAGAGCCTCACCCGTGTCACCCCTTGGGGGCAGTGCAGGAGAAGCTGCTCAGCAGGCCGGGCCAGTGTTCCCCCAGACTTCCCGACCACGACCACGTGAGCTAAGTGGCCATGCACTCACTATGCCAAGTCTAACGTGTCCTTGGAAAATCTTGGATGGATCAAATTATCATTGCCAATTCCAGTCTCTATTGAGCAACTGCCTGTTACTGCTGCCACCAGTTAAACAGAGACAGGAGTGCTCTGCCTTCAGCCTCCAAAGAGAGGCACTGGGGGCATGACTGTCATGGGCCAGAGACCCCTGAGCATAGAGGTTCAGGGGTTAAAAACTCAGGCTTTATGATTGATGGCCTGGCTTAGCCCAACCAGACGCTCGCTGGCACATGACCTGGGCCAAGTTGCTCCATCCTCCAAGTCCATTCCCATCCTCCCTCATCACAGCAGCTGTTGGGACAAGCCCTCAACAGTGGGGGCTCTCGGGTGACTTCCATGTGGACCCATCCGTGAGCTTGGAGTCCAGCCGAGCTGGCTCATTGCCACCGGTCACGTGGGTCTGTGGCATGGCCAGGCCTTGAACTTGGGTCCCCGAAGCCTGTCCAGCCTACCCCGGCTCATTCCATTTCCACAGTGCCCCCTGCAAGTCCAGTCAGACTCAAGCGTAAGCCCCCTCAGCTGACCTGGTCCACGCAGGAGCAGCCACTCACCGTGGGCTGAATCAGGCTCTCCCGGTTGTGAATGGTGCCCCAGGTGGCGACTCCGATTGTGATGACCTCTCCCTCCTTGTAGCTGCTGCTCAGGCTGAAGTCCCGCACTGCCTCGCCCACCTGCTTCATCACACCTGTGTGGGACCCCCCGGTGATAATCCAGGCACCTGGGCAGGGAGACAGGCGTGGGCAGGCCTGGCGGGTCTCACACTCAGAGTCCTCCCGCGGGGCTCTCTCAGAAGCAGGGTTAAGGACGAGACCTACTACAATCATCTCATGGCACAGCTCTGGGATCTAGGATCCCCACATTGCCCTCGCGGGGTGGGGCAGGGCCCCTCTCCTGACTGCAGCCCTCACATGCCCCCCACCCTGCCTCCAGGCTGCCTCCTCTCTGTCTCAGTCTCAGCAATTTTCAAGACATGTGACTTTGCCTCTTCCTTTTGGGAGCTCTTGGGCCCCAAGTGTGGTGGATTGTGTCCTAGCCCCCAGTCACTCGGCCCTGTTCCCTGTAAAGCACCACATGGCCTGCAGCAACCCGTGCAGGGATGTGCTTCCTACCCCGCTGTACTGCCTGACCAGGTGGCCTGCTCCGGTCCTCGCACGTGGACGAGAGGAACAGAAACCAGGGCTGAGCACTGTGAGTTCACACCAGCCTGGCCACAGGACCAGTAGGTCCCCAGTGGGGCCTGTGTCCCACAGTGAGAGGATGTGCGAGGTGAGCCACCAGCACCTGCCTCTGTGAAACAAGCACAGAGTCATGTTTGCGGTGGTTGGGGCAGTTTGTTCCCCATGCAGTGCTGACCAAGGCCTCAGAAAGTGGTGCCATTTATAAAAGCAATCTAAACCACGTGGCACGAGGACGCTGATACTGAAAGCTAGACAGGTGCGAGGTCAGACCATGGTAAAACCACCGCCTGTGATCCCCTGGGAGGCAGGAGAGACCCTAACAAATCTGTGGAGGTAAAAGGCTGCCAAGGTGACGGTGTGCCTGGGGGATGGTTAGTAGCGTTAAACCAAGTCCCGCATGACCAGGCAGAGAAAAGGTTTGGTCCATTTACAAGCAAGGATGGAGGGAGGGCAACGGGCCAGAAGATCTGGGGGCGGGTTGAAAGGAACCACTGTTCCCCATCTCCTACTGGCAGCCAATAAACTTGAGGACACTGTCAGCGACACGAGCCAATGAAGACTCAGATGAAGACTCTGTATCAGGAACTAAGACCACACCAAGGGGTGGCCCTCACCCCCTTTACTGAAACCAGGCCCCAGGAGGAGCTGGATGACTCCAGGCTTGTCTAGACCCAAAAACGTCACTGTCCCGTGTCATTAGCCTTCTCCGCCATGGTCTGCTTCACAGACCACAGCGCTGTGTCCACCTATCAACTGCCACTTTAAGGGAACACCGGCGCCTCAGGGACCCATGTCCCCCCACTCCCTATAGAGCCCCAGGCATGGCAGGGCACAGGTCATGACAGTGGGGTTCTTATATTGCCCACATGGACCTGGGCCCCTGCGTGGCTCTCACTCGCCGCGTGACCTTGGCAGTTACCTAACTCCAATGAGGCAGCTGCCTCAAGTGAGAAGACAGAGAACAGACTTCATCCCACCGTCAGCCCAGCCTGCTCTGGCCTCCTCTGGCCCCTGTGCCTGTGCCACCAGGAAGCTCATCACTCCCAGGCCCTGAGGCACTCCAGGGTTACAAACCAGAGCTGTCTAAGCCCCCAACAAGCAAGCCGGGCAGCAGGGGCAGGAAATCGAGGGACCATGGGCAGGTGAGAGGCTGGGTGAGTCTGACCTGGGCATGGGGCGAGGTGTGGACTCGGTGACCCCAAGGGCCTTTCCAGTCCTGATAGCCCTGACCTCCCAGCATGGCCCCTCTGCCCGCCCACCCCCACCCATCTCCACTGCAGACGGGGCCTCATGCCCTGCCAGCCTCTGCACATCCATTACCTGTGGTCTGAGCCACCTTGACCAGGCCTCTGCGGAAGATGCTCTTCAGCCTCAGCTTCATGTTGAAGTTCTTGGCCCCACCAGTCACCGAGATCAGGAGGTTGGGGATGTCCAGGCCCCAGTGCTGGGTCATGAGGTGGTAGATTACACTGGAGGGCGTGTCCTGGGAGACGCGGACATACTGCAGGGAAACCAACAAGCAGCGGAGAGGACTCCATGTTAGCGGGCAGCGGTGTTCACGCCAGACACGGGCTGCAGGTGCCCCTGCCCGCCCACCTCGGACCCGGGGCCTGATGGCACCGTGAGAGGGGATGGCGCCCGACCCACACAGGCCGCACCCGAGGAGTCCTAGCCAGGCAGGTGGACCTCACACCTCAACTTTAGACCCAATAAGAAGAGTGGTCAGTGTCTAGCCGGGACATGGATTGTGACAGGAAAGGGAAGAAGGTGGGAGCCCAGAGGAGAGTCCCAAGCCGGAGCGACGGCCCTCCCCGGGCTAACCAGCCGCTCAACCCACCACGCTCCCTGCCTCCCTTCCTCTCCACTTTGGGAGCGCCTCCTGGACGACAGGCCCCACGTCCCTGATCCTGCCTCCTCCAGCGCTCAGTTGCCAGCCCTTGGGTCTCTTCCTCCTTGGTGCCCCCTCCTCGGTGCCCCCGTCTTGGGTCCCGCATTCTGGGTCCCGTGCCCTGGCCTGCCATGCAGTCTCAGCAGGCTCAGTTGTCCTCCGCCTCTCTCTAGACACTGCCCTTACTTTGGGCCCCTTAGGTTCCAGAAGGTTCTATGTGCTCCACAGTAGACTTTTTCCTCCCTGGTTAAGTCTGCTGTGTCTGAAGAGACCCAGCCGGGCCTGGAATTTCCCTTGAGGAACAGAAAACCTGATGGGGTAGAATCCAGAAATGGCTGCAGTGTCCTCAAAGTAATCAAGTAGCAGCATTGTCATTAAAAGAGTTCTAGTTAATGCACAGCGGCTGCTGCCTGCCACACCCAGAGCAGTGGGTCCCACGGTTGAGCAGGTGCCCAGAGGCAGGCCCTTCACTGTCCTGTATAAGCCGCATGGCCCCCTGGAGGGAAGGGCCGTGGGTCCATTGCACGGTGGATGCACACACTGGTGAAGGGGACTTCGTTGGGGGCAGGCTGCATCTTGGGTTTTGTCTCCCAGGTTTCTCGTTCACTGTTGGACCACAGCATTTTCCCTATTACCAACTGTCCCTGCTAGCAACTGTCCCTGTGGGCAGCTGCCAGGGCAGGCTGCAGCCGGGAGAGTGTGGGGGTTAGAACCTTGGGCTCGGACCCTGCCAATCCAGATCTGCCACTGCCGTGGCCTCAAGCGATGCGCAGGACCTCCCTGCACCTCGTTTCCTCTTCTGGAACCAGAGGCAACAGGACCGCCTCCCCTAACCACAAAGACACACGCGCCCAGGGACTTGGGAGCACCCACATGGGACAATGTGATGTGGGGCCATGTGGGACACTCAGGGGAGTCGAGGGAAAAGGTTGCAGCCAGCTGGTAGGTGGCTCAGGGGTCCCCGAACCCCAGCACAGGATGAAGTGGTACCAGCCCCATGGGACAGCGGTGCCCAAGGGCTGTATCTGAATCGTGCAGAAGTCTTGTTAAAATGCAGGTGGCGGAGCCCCTGATTCAGCAGGTCTGGGGCAAGGCCTGGGGATGTGCCTAGTGCTGCTGCTGGCCCTGGGACCACACTGGGCTGACAGTGTGCAGGCCTCGGGGCTTGGCGTGGGTCACACTTCCCACACAGGAGCCTCCCCACCATCCCCGACCCCTTCCCACTGCTCGTCCCTTCTCCATGTCCCCTCTGCCATTCCACAAGCACACCCCAAGCATGCGCCTGTCCTGAGTCCCTCTCCTTATTCCCTACTCTCTCCAGGCCAGGACCAAGAGCCATCCAGGGCCACCCAGCCAGAATCTGCTCACTCCTCTCTGAGCTCACATGTCCTTAGAAAGCTCAACACGCCCCACCCTGCTTTGCGGATAACCACATACTCTGAGAGCTGGTGTCTCTGGTTTGCCCAGCACAGCACCTGCCCCATCACTAAGCATTTGGTGGGCTCGATGCACTCTGGATTTCTACCAGCCTTCCACTCTCACCCCAGGAAATCCCAGCCACCACGTGTCACCATGGGGCCACCACAGCTTTAGCCAGAGTTAAGAGCCACAGAATGCTAGAAACCAACCTTTCCCACCTTCTGGCCCAGGCCTGTGAAGACGATGTCACCAAAAGCATCTGTTGGCATCTCCTGGACATGCTTTTTTGGGTCCCACTCCTTGCCCTGGAAGGCATGGGGCTTGGTGGCCTCATCCAAGTGCTGCTCGCGTGTGTAGCCACACTCACACACCACCTTCCTGTGAAGATACAGTACAAGTCACCCATGGGAATGAGGTGCCTCTCCTGCTCCCCGCAGGGTGTTGGAGAAGGCCCAGTGGAGAGCCAGTACTTTCACCCCACCCTGCAGCCCCCCTGCCCCTCCCAGCATGGTGGTACCAGCAGAGGCCTGGTGGGAAACAGAAATTGCCCCCAAGCCCAGCAGTAACAGGAAGTCCCTCCACACTGAGGGGCTGAAGTGGAAGCTTGGACTTCCACGCCCCTGCAGCAGTAATGAGAGGCCACCCCTCCCCTGCCGTGGGTATGCAGTAAGGAACCAGCTAAAACACAAGATCTGGGGTCTCATTACATGAAACCTGTCAATCAAAAATCACTAGTTATACCAAGAACCAGAAAAACATCTCAACCAGAATGAGGAAGACAATCAACAGCCACCAACAGCAAGGTGACACAGATGTCAGAATTACTGACCTGGACTCTAAACAGCCATATTAAAAATGCTTCAACAAGCAATTAAAACATGCTGGAAACAAATGAAAAAATATCAAGTATCAGCAAAGAAAGAGAAGATCTACTAAATGGAAATTTTAGAACTGGAAAGTGTGGTAACCAAAATTAAAAATTCAGTAGATGACCTCAACAGCAGTAATGGAGGGGACTGAGGAAAGAATCTGTGAAAGAGAAGATAGAACAATATGAATTACCCAGTAACAACAGAGAGAAAATAAACCAAAAAACAAACAAACAGAGCCTCTGGGACTTGTGCGACTACCAAAAGATTGGACATTCTTGTCATCAGAGTTCCAAAAGGAAAAGAAAAAGAGGGTAACCCTGCAAAAGTATGTAATGTAATAATGGCCCAAATTTCCCACACTTGGCAAAAAAGACATAAAGCTACAGATTCAAGAATCTGAGTAAACACTAAATAGGATAAACCCAAACAGATGCATGCCAAGACACATACTAGTCAAATTTCCTCCTAAAGACAAAAAAACTCAAGAGCAGCAAGACAGAAATGACACCTTATCTAGAGGGGAAAACAATTTAAACCACACATTTCTCATCAGAAGCCGTGGAGGCCAAAAAGAAGAGTCACACACTCTTCAAATGCTGAAAATAAAAAAAGGCCAGCCCAGAACTCTAACTCCAGCAGAAACGCTGTCCAGGAATGAAAGGAGCAAAGACATTCACCACTGAAGGAGGACACAGGGAACTTGTCACCAGTAGAACTACCCTAAAGAATGGCCAGAGGAAGTTCCCCAAACAGAAGTGAAATGGTAAAAGAAGGAAATGTGCGATATCAGAAAGGAAGTCAAACAAACGAAGGTGTAGAAATATGGGAAATACAACATTATCTCCCTTCTCTTGAGTTCTCCAAACTATGTTTGATGATTGAAGCAAAAACTGCACACCACTGGAGGCGTGTTCTCGATGCACGTAGAGGAGACACTTTAAACAAGCCCCTTATACGTGAGGAAGGGTGGCAGTATGTAAAAGGAGGTCACGTGTCTACACTGCACCCAAATGGTAAAGTGTCAACACCAGGAGGTTCTACGTTACATGGTGCCACACCCAGAGCAACCACTAAGGGAGGCAGCATGGGAAAATATACTCAAAAATGCAAAAGTAAAACGGAATTCTAAACAATGTTCGGGTAACCCACAGAAAGGCAGAAAAAAAGAGAGAACAAACAGAAAACAAAAAACGAAGTCCATACTTGATCCTAACATATAAATAATTACACTGAATGTAAATCTAAGTACACCACTTAGAAAACAGAGATTGGCAAAGTGAGATAAAATAACAGGACCCAATTACGTGTTGTCTGTAAAAATCTCACTTCCAATATAACGATACAGGCAAGTCAAAAGGAAAGGACAACCAGCAATAAAAAGCGATAAACTATCGATACACACAGCACTTGGATCTCAGGGCATTATGCTGAGTGAAAAACACACAGGTCATGTGGTGCATTATTCCAGTTACATGACATTCTTGAAACAGCAGCATTTTAGAAATGTGGAACAGATTGGGGTTAGGGATGAGGGGAGGGGAGAGTGACCACAGAGGGATGTGTGGGGAGATGCGCCAGGATGGGCCAGCCTGTATCTTCCCCTGATGGTGGTCCCACGAATCTGTGTGTGATAACACACACGCTGTACCACTGTTGAACTGGTTTTGATGCCAAACTCTAGTTATGCAGAATGTGACCATGGGTGAAACCATGGGACCTACCTGCAGTATCTTTGAAACTTCCCACAAATCTGTAATTATTTCAAAACAAAAAGTTGAAGAAACACTCACACTCAGTGGACGCACAAAGCAGAAGTCACAGGCAGCACCAGGCAGGTGCCGCCAATGCTCCCCTCCCCCCAGGCCCACTGCGCATGCTTGGAGCCTGCGACACCAGACGAAGCTCTAGGGGCAGACGCTCTGCCTGTTCCTAACCTGGAGCAGGTATCTCTCAGCAGCCACCTTCCCTCTGATTTCTATGTCTTTGTGGACTGAATTCTTTTTATTCCTCTACTGCTATTCGCTGGGGTTTCAGGAGAGAGACAAGATAAATGTATGTGTATCTGCGTGTTGTTCCATTGGAAAACCACAAATTTTTAGACTCCTACTCTTTGCTAGTAACAAATGACCTAAAAGACTAGGTACAGACAAGTCAAAAACAAAAACAAAAAAATCCCACTCTAAAGCCAGAAAAAACCTGAACCAGATGATAAAGGGGAGAGATGATAAAGGAGAAAGGAAACGTGGGTTTCTCTGCCACGTAGCAACCGTGTGATCTTGGATGTTTCTGACTCTCAATTTCTCAACCATTAAAATGGGAAAAATAATACATCCCCTGACCCTCACCCTACAAAATCGTACAGACCCCTGAGGTCAGGGCACTTTCAGACTTGCAGGGATCTTAGAGACTACTTCGTGAGATCTGTACATTTTGTGGGTGAGGTCTGGGTGCAAGGCAGGAGAAGTCACAGGACGAGAACTGAACCCTTGTGTCCTGTCCCAGCACTGCCCCAAATCTGCAGTTAGACTGTAACAAGCTGCCCCTTTCCCTTCTTTTGGAAGCATCACTGACGAGATCAGATCTTACATCTATGAGGAAATCTCAAGCCCGACAGGGGGCAGGAAACTGCACTGGGACCACTGACCCAGAAACTAAACAATCACAGAGCATGATCCCGAATTCTTGGCCTCGATAGGCAGAAACAGAAGCAGCAGCACCAGCTCCTTGCAGGGGCACCAGCTCCTGCAAGCACACCCTTCCCGACCTGGGTCCCTTCCTTCCATCTGAAGGGTGGCGCCTTGGTCTCACTGAGTATGAACACCTTACTCCTGAGGAAAGCTTCCGAAGCATCCCCTCAGTCTCTGTGCTATCAGATGAGGATTTGGAGTCTGGAGAAGAGAAGGGATATGCCCAAGGTCATGAGAGAAATGGTGACAAAATACAAAATACGAGTGGGAGGAAGGCCTGAATGAGGACGGCGGCGACAAGGAGGATCATTGGGACGGGGACTAATTAGATACGGGTGCGGGTGGGAAGACCCTAAAGCACTTAATGGAGACATTAAGGGTGTACAAATAATCTGTTCTGAAAGCTGTGTTTGGATGGGGAAGGGCGTTCGCGGCTCACCACGATCCTGGTCCTTCTGCAGGAGGCAGGGAAGTCCCAGCAGGCTCCAGGGGAAGGAGCGACCTGGCCTTTCCCATCAGGATGCCAGAGAAAGCTTCTGCGCAGGAGGAGGTACCAGAGAAGCCCGAGGCTGCTGTCCCTAGCAGGGCCTGAGTTCAGAGCTGGCTCTGGGAGGGGGCTCTCAGCGCCCCTCCACTCCCTCACTGATGTTGTTTCACTGGGCCTAGGCTGTTTGTACACAGCACACCTGCCTCGGTCCCAGCCCCAGAAGAGCTTGGCAGCTAGCAGGAAAGACAAACACAAAGCCACACAACCACAAGACAGTGGACACCTGGATGAAAGAGAAATGCACAGGCGTGGCAGGAGGGAAGGCTACTGCCTGGAAGAGGGCGGCAGTCTGGGAGGGCTGCCCAGCAGAGGTGGCTCCCACAGAGGCCTTGAAGTGTAAGCGGGAGCTCTCCGGGAGGAGAGGGGAAGAGCAAGAGCAAGCGAGCATGGCAGCTCACGGAGCAGCATGAAACAGGAGTGGCTGGAGGGAGGGCGCACACGCAGGCCCAGACTCTGCTAACGGAGCTACAGGAGCAGGGAGTGCAGTAAGGCAGCGCCCCCGGGAGGCCCTGCGTCCCCAGGGACAGGAGCAGATCTGCCGTTTCCCCCACAGCTCTGTCAGGCTCCCCAACTCACAAGCAGCCGCCCGTGGGCAGCCATCCACCCAGGAGGGCAACGTCCAGCGGCTTAGAGGCAGAGTAACCACTGCGGCCTTGGAGGTGGCCTTGGTGCCCACACAGTGCCACAGGCTCTGCAGGGAGGAGGGGCAAAGAGGCTGGGGAGGCCTTTGGGCAAGTTGGGCCTCCCTGGACTTGGGTGCCCCCTCAGTGACGGTTTGCACTAAGACCCCTCCCGGTTCCTGGGCCCCACAGCCCTCCACTCCAGGGAAACAAGATAGTCCAGGGGCTGCATCTGGTGCCCAACCCACGGGCTCAGGTCCCAGCACCACATGTAGCCAAATCATAACCCTGGTCACCTAAACGTGGCACCTTGGGCTTCTCGTGTGCCAGGAGGATGGGGTCAGCCGCTCCCCACAAGAGGCTCGTGGGGGTCCAATGGAAATACCTTAAGGACCCTAAACCTTCCACAGACCCAGGGATGCTCCTCACTGGCCCCCTGCTGAGGCCCTGGGTGGCCTTGGTCTGACCAGTCACTCCACACAGGATCAGAAGAAAGAGGTTAGAGGCTTAGACACAAAACACATCACTTACCCAGCATCAGACAGCTTGGAACTTTCCACAAAATACACGCACTCTTTCTTCTTGATGTTTTCAGGAATCCAAGAACTAAGATTTTCTTGCTGCAGGTAAAGAGGGCACTTTGAGATCTTCAGGCCACCAAGTCAATTACATTTTAAAAAGCACATCCCGTGCGTCTTAGACACATCTATACTCCCCAAGACACTTCAGTGGCACTTTGCTTGGAGAAGGGAGACCTCAGTGATCCCATTCCACGCCAAAGGGTAGAGTACCTTGCTGAAGGCTCTCAGCTGTGGGTTCAGGAGGGAGAAATGGATCTACAAAATCATTTCCTCCTGGGCCTGACTGGAATGTGCACCTCACTTTACAGCTTATACTTCGACATCACCTTCCATGGGCACAACGCGGTGTGGTGGGAAACACGCAGGGTCTCCCCCAATCTGGGTACCTGGTTTCCCCTTCGCTGTCAGGAGAATGGCAGACATCATCCTGCCCACCCAACAAGGGGACCACAAAACTCAGAGGTGCTTTTAGCACATTTTTATCGAGGGCTTTCGGGAGCAGCTAGTCCAAGACTTGAGGTTGAGCCTGGGGCCTCCACGGTCAGATAAAGGATATGAAACCACTGTGCAACTGGTAAGCAGGGTGATGATGGCTGCCCATGAGCCCAGCACAGGACGTCAGTGCTCACCCAGCGATTTCCCAACCAGACCAGGGAAATGATTGTGAAAGCTGCAGCCACTTGCCACTTTCTCCGATTCTCCCTCCCAAAGGGGGTTTCTGGGCTGGAGCCCCTGAGGTCAGCCGACCTTCTGCCCAGGTAGGAAATGTGCCTAACCCCATGGTCACTAACTGTGCTGCACAAGGGCTGGTGTGACCCAGCTGATGGGGACTACTCGGTCCTCTGTGGCCTTGTGGGCCAGCTGCAGGCTGGCCAGTGGACGCCTACCTTTTCACTGTTGCCGAAGGGACACTGCAGCCTCCTGCTCCTGTAGAGGATACTGTTGCTTCTCCGGAGATTGGGGACCGTGCCCAGATCAGCGATCCTCCTGGCCTGCACCCCGAAGCCCTCCTCCTGCTCGGAGCCAGACTTCCTCAGGGCCGAGGGCTCCATCCTGACTCCTCACTCCAGCTTTACCCAGGTCTCCTGCCTCTTTCAAGATGGGCTTTTCTTCAGCTCGCTGGGTGGGGGATTCTGGAAACACACCATGAGGGGCTGCTGAGATAGATCGGAGAGGGGAGGATGAGGCCCATGTTCTGGGAGGACCTGGCCACCTGTATCCTCACGAGGAGCCCCTGCCCATTTCTCCATTATCGGTCTGTGCATTTTTCCAGCTGCCCGGGCTCAGTTCCCAGCCAGGGTCCCTGGGTAGTCTTGGAAGCACACACACATCAGGGCCCTGGAGCCTGTCCATAATAACAGCCCCAGGTCACTGTGCAGGCTCCAAAGACAAGCTCCTCCTGCCCCCCACCCCCGCCCCCTGTCACTCCTGGCTGCACTTGGAGATGCCCGGAATGTGGCTGCCCATGCCAGGATGCCCAGATCACCAGGACCAGCAAGAGGAAAGGAACAGCTGTGGCCATCACCTGCAGTGGCATACCCGCCAGCACATTTCTAGACCTCAGTTTGCTTCTTTCAATAAAAGAGAAAAAAGCCCCCACTGCCCACAAAGTGAGCTCTGGGAGCACCGCAGCTCTTCACATCTGCCAATCAGAACGAGTCTCACTTTCCCAAGTCCTTTCATCTGGGCTCTGGTGTGGTCTTCACCACTGAGGCCACAGAAAGCCACTGGGCAATTTTCGTCACTTTACAAATGAGAGAAATCATCGTGTTCAAGCCCTGCAGGGCTTCCCTGAGCCCATGGCACCCACGACGATGTTGTCTAGTGGAGACAACGCCCCTCCCCGCCGCACCCCAGCCGAGCCCCAAGGCAAAAGTGACTACAAGTCTCAGCTCCCTGTCCCAGCCCTGAAACCCTTTCTCTGGTCACATCACTTCCAGCACACATGACCGTCCTGACCGACAGGCCTTTCCTCTGCCCGCTCAGTGATCAACACTGGCCACTGAGCCATGGTAGGGCCATCACTTGGCTCTGGGAACCTGGGGTTGAGCCCCTGGCTGCTGGCCTTGGGCAGATGCTCCCTGGCCACCCCTTACCTCTCCCACCCTCACCCCCTGGGGCCTCTCCCATCCCCATTGTGCCTCAAGCACACTCATTCCCAGACCCCCAAGCCTGCTGGGAAGAAGGGATTTGAACTGCACTCGCAGAATGGTGGGCTGCCCCACCTGGGCCTTCCCACACAGTTCTCAGAACAGAGGGTCTGCCTATGCCTGTGTGGCCGCCCAGGGCCACTGCTGTCTTTGACAGCAGCTCACCTGGCCTTACAACCAGCTTCTGAGGGAGGCAGAGAGGCAAGAAATGTTTCAAGTTGACAGAAGAGGAGAAGGAGGCTCGTGAAGTTTACACGCGGCAGCTGATCTGTAAGGGGACCTGCCCCAGAGGAGACTCCCCATGGGCAGGTTGGCCTCGGCCTGTGCAGGACGAGGGTGATGCTATGCTAAGATGAGGGCCAGCCTCGGACAGAGTGTGTGAGGGAAAGGGCTTTGTGTTCAGGACCTCAGAGGGGTTCTCACCCACGTGCCTACCTTCCAGGCAGTGGCCCAGCTCATGGCACCCGCCGGAGTCTTATGCAGCTCCTCTTGAAGTTCAGCTGCACACACATCCCTAGGGAGCATGTCACACCCCACTCCACAACCCGCCACCCATCACATCTGCAGGATGGGCTGGCTACAGGGGGGACACCAGCTTGGCCCTCCCTCCCCGTGCGCAACAGGAGAGGGTGCCTCAGTCTAGGCCTGGGGGTGAGGGCAGCCTGAAACCCAGAGCTGACAAAGACCTGACAAAGCCCCATCCGACCTTTTCTGGGGTTCTCCTACCCAAGAGCACATGGTCAGTCGCTTTCTTCACACATCACCAAAAGGCAGCTTGGCCACCCTGGTTTAGAACTAAAACCCTCCACAAGCAACCGCATAGATGTGTGTGTAGAGAACAATGTGGAAGTAAATGGAGTTCAAAGAAGATAGGTAGACATATCTACAGACAGGATTTGGCAGCACAGGACCTTGGCCACACAGCATACCAAAAACACATCTCCTAATGAGCACATTTGGCGCCAGGCACCTGTTGTAACTGCGTAAGCAGATGTGAACAGGACAAGGCCCGAGGTGGGTGAATTTCCAGATCCCAGCTCTGCACTGAGCAGTTCTGGGAGGAGAGAGGAAAGGGCACCCCGCTGGGGAGGGGCCGTGCGGCCCTCCGTGTCAGCCCCGTGCAGCAGCTCCCCACAGCCCCACCAGGCTCCTGCCATGCAGGGTGGCAGACTGAAGGGCACCCCCTGCCCCCCTTCAGGAACAGACACCAACGCAAAACATAATAATACTGCAGGACTTCCTACAGCCGCCGCGTGTGTCCAGGCCCTTGGGGACCCATGAGGACCCAAGGTGTACTGCCTCCTTCCGCACCCACCGCAGCCGAATACTCACCGGCAGCCTGGCGCACACTGGCCCGCACGGCACGCGCGTCCCCCCGCAGCCTTCCTCTCTGAAACCGCGGGCCACCTCTGACCGCTCCCCGATGTCGCACAGCGTCCTCTTGCTGTGAAAGCACTTCCTTTCGAGAGCACCAGTATAAACAGCCAAAGGAAGCAAGAGGCGGCAGAGGTGGCCCAGTGGTCTTTTCTAAGGAGGGTCCAGAACAAAAGCCCGAGCCTCCCACCCCCCTGCCAGGCCAGGGTCTCCCCGAGCGAGCGGCACAGTGTCCCGCGAACGAAACGCGCCGGGTCCGCACCCTCCGGCCCGCGCCCATACCCCACTGCCTGGATCCCCACCCTGCGCCCTGCAGGCACTCAGTACCCCCACCCCGCGTCCCTGCACGCACTCAGTACCCCCACCCCGCGTCCCTGCACGCACTCAGTACCCCCAACCCGCACCCCTGCCCCCGGCCCGCGCTCCTGCCCGGGCGCTCGACTCGCCACCTCGGTCCTGGCACCGACTGTCGCCCTGGCCGGCGTGCGAACCTGCTCCGAGCTCCCCCGCGAAGGACGGCCGCCCTGGCCCTGCGG